GACCAGAAACAGGGAATCTCATAACTGACCTTCTTTGACCCTATTTCAAAGTTAAATTTTTGTTTTAATTTATAATCATATTATGATAATTATTATTAATATTAATGAGGAGTCCATGTCAGTTTGATCAGTTTTGTGTTTGAACCGGACTGATGGATCAGTGTGCCTGTCAGGTGGGTCTATGTGTGAATGTGCGCGTGTGACGTCCACTTACCACCACGAAGAGTCCACCCGAGGCGTGACGAGCAGCAGCAGCAACAGACACGCGCAATAAATCCTGGAGCTGGTGCCCGGGCTCTGACTTGAAGAAGGTCGGGATGATGAGAGTCCGACTCCCGGCTGAACCCGGACTGGTCGGAGGCTGACGGTCCGGTTTACACCCAGCATCGCTCTCTCGTCTTCTCGGCGAAGTGTGGAGATTAGGGAAGAAAAAAAAAAAGAGATAAATCCTGCCTTTAGTTTGTCCCTTTTGAGAAGTTATGCTGGCCTCATGATCCGGGGAGTTAAGTCCACGTTGCGGCTGTCAGCGGAGCAAGAAGCGTCTTGTCGGTGCCATGTGCGCACCGGGCTTTCTCTCTCCTCTGAGAACGTCTTACCTGAGGAGGGGGGGGCAATAACAAGCCTTGCCTTTACTCTCAATCCCTCCCTGGGGTGTCTGTATCCTTCTCAGCTCAGAGGTAGAAATAGGGTCCGAGTCAAAGTTTGAGCCAAAAAAAAAAAAAAAAAGTTTTGGACATCAACCCTCCCGCCGTCCTGTCCTGCTGCGAGACTTCACTGGGTCGGGATGCTGGCGTCGGACCTCTCCTTTATTAGCGCACGGTGGAAAGAGTCCGAGCTGAGGGAGATGGGAGGTGGGGAGGGAACGAGAGGAGGGTGGGCTCGGAGCGGACAGCTCCCTGTGCTCATTGGGTGGAAGCAGAGGTTACAGGGTTTGAAGAGGAAGGAGATATTAAAAAGAACGGAGTGATGAAGATGATGCTGATGATGAGGAGAGGGTATCGATGCGCAGAGTCCACCTGGAATTAAAGCAAGACTTTATTGGCATTAAAAATCTTACTTTTATGCAGAAAATCTATTATTAAACATTAGACCTATAAAGACCTTATAGATAATCAAAAACAGTGATTTGTTTTGCCCCAAATCTTACTTTTATCAAATGTTTAATCAAATGTTTGTTTGCATCCATGCAGGCAAAAAAATAATCAAAAAAAGGTACAGCAGAGGTAAAAGTTAATAAAAAAAAAAAAGCAAAAGCAAAGAATGTGGGATCTGGAAAACAGTGCCAACTCGTCCAGCGGAACAGCAACATGGATCAAATATGAACCACATGTGTAGGAGAAAATGCTGAGACAGCGCTGGAATAAAGCACAAACACACATAAAATTGTCTCCTGAGTTCAGCCATGCTTACCTTTTCTCCCTGGTTTGTTGCATTCATGTCGTCTTCAGGCCGTCTAACGTTCAAGCTGCGATGATTCTCATCCCCAAATGACCTCAGACAGGTTAAAAGCTGCTTGTTTAGGAAATAAAAAAGCATTCACAAGCTTAAACTTAAAATAAAATTCATTTAAAACCCTTCCCTTGGCTGACATGTTTTCAGTTTTTATCTGGACCGAACATGTGAGCTTGTGATATTAGACTGAGAATGCCATGTGGTTCAGCTGACCCAGATAATGCCAAGTAAACAAATCAGGAAAATGTCTGATGGAATTGAAACTATTAGCAAAAGCTGACGCAAAGTGCTATTTTATGAAAGACTTGAGAAAACAGTCCCAATGTTAATGCCAGAGCTAGTGTGAAAGCTAAGCCTCTTACAGACACTCAAGCACTTTACAGCTCATAATTAGTGCTGACAGAACAAAGTATATATTTTTAATAAATAAAACTATGTTTTAATGCAAGTGCAGGATTATTAACACTGATAGACTCAAATCAAAAAGACTTAATGAAATATAAACGCGTCTGAGTTAGTTTTTCTTTCCCCGGGGTGGAGCTGGAGCTCCTCTGTCTGACTCGGTGAACTTGACTCCAGCTTTCTCTCCATAAACAATAACAGAGTCAAGTGTCTAAAAGTTTACTTTGATGCACACGGTCCAAGCTGACATCTATCTCCTCCAAGGAAAACGACTAATAAGACTCATTCTGTTTAAACTGGCCTGCAAGGAAACAGACTCAAATGTAATTTTAATGACTAATCCAACAGATTTTTGTGTATTACCGATAATAAAAAATAAATACTCTGAATTCCTTTTGGACAGAAATGTTGTGACTTGAAAAAAATGTAAAAAACAAAAACACAGGTGTGTTCTCATGAGGGTTCAGTAATGACTCCCCTGTGGGGATTATATTTTGCGATGCCACAAGTCAGGCAGTCTAGAGATGAGCTCAGTGTGTATTATTATACTCCTGGCAGTCTGAAGTCAGGGGGACAGCCCTCAGTCAGACCTGGACATGGTCCCCCACTGAAGAGACACATCAGGACACTGATGAATGAACGACAGGAATAAGAGAGGGGGGCTATATTTCTAAAAACCTTTTCTAAATGTCTTTATAATGTTCAGCCCTGACCTGCTAAAAGCAAAGGGTGTCCTGAAATCTGATTTTCTTAGCTCAAATGGCCACCAGAAAGCTCTGCCATTGATGTACGCAATATCTGTTTTTTTCTCCCTCATGTTTGTTCTCTAAGTGAACAGAGAGGTATACTGACTTTTACTCCACCTGCTTGCAAGACTGTTTGATGCTTTCAATTCTATTTTGCCCAGAGTGAACTGTGGGGAAAGGCTTTTGTCCATTCTGCACCTTCTTCAAAGACTGGAAAAACTTTCAGTTAACTTCATCAAAACTGAAAGGAGGATATATATATATATATATATATATATACAGTGGTTTGCAAAAGTATTCATACCCCTTGAACTTTTCCATATTTTGTCACATTACAACCACAAACATAAATATATTTCACTGGAATTTAATGTGAAAGACCAACACAAAGTGGTATACAATTGTGAAGTGGAAGCAAAATTTTACATGAATCAAAACATTTTTTACAAATAAAAAACTGAAAAGTGCGACGTGCAAAAGTATTCAGCCCCCTTTTCCCTGAGTGCAACCAATTGCATTCAGAAGTTGCCTGATGACTGCTAATGACTCAAAAGGGTCCACCTGTGTGTAATCTAATCTCAGTACAAATACAGCTGCTCCGTGACGGCCTCAGATGTTGGTTAAGAGAATATTGGGGAGCAAACAGCATCATGAAGTCCAAAGAACACACCAGACAGGTTAGGAATATGGTTTTGGAGAAGTTTAAAGCAGGCTTAGGTTATAAAAAGATTTCCCAAGCTTTGAACATCTCACGGAGCACTGTTCAATCCATCATCCGGAAATGGAAAGAGTATGGCACCACAGTAAACCTGCCAAGACAAGGCCGTCCACCTAAACTTACAGGCCGAACAAGGAGATCACTGATCAGAGAGGCAGCCAAGAGGCCCATGGTGACTCTGGATGAAATGCAGAGAGCCACAGCTCAGGTGGGGGAAACTGTCCACAGGACAACAATTAGTCGTGCACTACACAAATGTGGTCTTTATGGAAGAGTGGCAAGGAGAAAGCCATTGTTAAAAGAAAACCATAAGAAGTCCCGTTTGCAGTTTGCCAGAAGCCATGTTGAGGACACAGCAAACATGTGGAAGAAGGTGCTTTGGTCAGACGAGACCAAAATTGAACTTTTTGGCCACAATGCAAAACGCTATGTGTGGCGGAGAAAGAACACTGCACATCACTCTGAAAACACCATCCCCACTGTCAAATATGGTGGTGGCAGCATCATGCTCTGGGGGTGCTTCTCTTCAGCAGGGACCGGGAAGTTGGTCAAAGTTGATGGGAAGATGGATGGAGCCAAATACAGGGCAATCTTGGAAGAAAACCTGTTGGAGTCAGCAAAAGATTTGAGACTGGGGCGGAGGTTCACCTTCCAGCAGGACAACGACCCTAAACATAAAGCCAAAGCTACAATGGAGTGGTTTAAAAAAAAGAATATTCATGTGTTAGAATGGCCCAGTCAAAGTCCAGACCTAAACCCAATTGAGAATTTGTGGCAAGATCTCAAAACTGCTGTTCACAAACGCTCTCCATCCAATCTGACTGAGCTTGAGCTGTTTTGCAAGGAGGAATGGGCAAGAATTGCAGTCACTAGATGTGCAAAGCTGGTGGAGACATACCCTAAAAGACTTGCAGCTGTAATTGCAGCAAAAGGTGGCTCCACAAAGTATTGACTCAGGGGGGCTGAATACTTTTGCACATCGCACTTTTCAGTTTTTTATTTGTAAAAAATGTTTTGATTCATGTAAAATTTTGCTTCCACTTCACAATTGTATACCACTTTGTGTTGGTCTTTCACATTAAATTCCAGTGAAATATATTTATGTTTGTGGTTGTAATGTGACAAAATATGGAAAAGTTCAAGGGGTATGAATACTTTTGCAAACCACTGTATATTGCCATTTGATGTTTTAATTTGGTTGTGTTACTGATGGGCTGCAGCCCCCGTATGCCATGGCTCATAGGCCACATCCTACATGGGCTGCAGGTCACTAGTGTAGGCTGCATATCTGCTGTGAAATGAGACGGTCTAGTCGACAGATGGCGTGTGTTTGCGTGACCCCGTTTCCATGGTGTTTTAAATCACGTGCCTCCAGTTGTCTTTTCGTGGTACAACTTCACGAAATTATTTTTTTATATTTAAAAATGGAAACATGTAAACAAAACAAACAAAAAAAAAAACACATCACTAATTTGGATTTAGCTCCAGTAGCAGTACATGTAATTGCATGCCGTTGTAATTAACATTACATTGTAAATACCCTGCTGTAAATCAAACTAAACTCTGCCGTAACAAAATAAAATATAAAAAACTCTGCCGATTTTGTTTTTTTGTAGTTCTATTACAAGTTTGCTGATGCAATGAATCCTGGGATGTCGTCAGCCAGGTAGGATATTCAGATGCAGCCTGCACTTTCAGGGTTTTGTTGGCCACCTTTGTTGACAGCCTAATGCGGGGGGCAATGACGTAATCGGGTGACAACTGCATCCTAAATCGGCTGCAACCCCTGAACTGAGACACGTGTTGTATTTGCTGCTGCCTATATTGGCCAGGTCTCTCTTGAAAATTAGGTTTTTAATGTCAAAGAAACTTCCTGCTTAAATAAATGTTAAATTGGAAAAAAATAATAAAACATTTCTCAAACCGAGTATGAGTACTTCAGTTTGGGCTCTTGCCAATAATGAGTACCAATACAGAGTACTTCCTGAATTAGAACTAACATTGTATTACATTACACAATGACTTTGAAAACACAAGTGTATATATATATGTCTGTATTGGTATCTCTTCCAGGTTTAGGGGCATTTTGAGTACGAGTGCTTGTAAAAATTCTGGTATTGGTACCAATCAGTATTGGGACCCTATTGAAACATCTGATGTTGTTTTTATATGTTTTTCACCAAGATGGAGATGATTTGTTTTGTTTGTCATAGCCCTCACAAGTAAATAAGTGCTGATCTGTTGTAACTTCTATCCTGCTGTACCTTAAAACTTTCATTGATCTGAGTAACATTGCATGGCCACAAGAGGTCACCTTTGATATGAGCATAAACACCAAAAAATTAAAGCATTTGAACATGAACTGAGAGGTTATTTTCTCTTATGTATCTGTTTTATAAGTAAATTAGCAATGTATATGGCACTGACAATATTTCTTGTTAAATGAGCTTGTTAAAAGGCTAATTATTTTTTGTAAATAGTTTCATCTCGTCTTTGGCGCTAATAAAAAAGGTCCCAGCACAACAAAGACCC